GGAAACCTCTCATTTCTCCCATAGGTTTTCACATCATTTTCTTTCTCATCAAACCATTGAGTGACCCCCCTTAGGTCTTAATCTGCAATTGTCATGTTTCTCCACTCATTCAGGTTTCTCTTTTACTTTGTTACCCATCTGTAGTATTCGCTAACTTAACAGCTAGGCTCCAGGAACAGTGACATCATTTTAAAAAAAATTCAAAATTGTACCAATTAAGAAACCCACTTATATATATTCCCCTTTAACAGTAAATAGTTAATGATGGTCACACAAATTGGTGTTATTTGCACAAAGGTATATAACATAGAAAGTAATGCTTACTATTAGTGGTCTGTAATTTCCTAATAATTTTCCAATAAGTTGTGTAAAATGCATTTAGTTGCAACAATTACAATTAATAAATCCCAACGAATTGCTCAAAATCACAGGTTAGGTGAATTTGTCTACAAGCAAGCAAACAACTCTAAATATAACAATTTGTTACCCGTTATTGATTTACAGGAGCAGTACCAGTTCCTGTACAAAGCCATGCTGAGTCTCATCGGGACGCAGGAAGACGAGAAAACCCTCCAGTCCTCCGACAACAATGGTACCATCGTGGTGGGAACCGCCAGCACTGCCGAGAGCCTTGAATCCCTGGTGTAACTGCCCCAAAAATCACAAAGAACTCTTGCTTAACTTTTACAAACAAGCAACAGCATTTTTTCCTTCCTCTTCAACCACCAACAGAACTTCTCCTGATGCCAGACTCATGCTACAACTACTAAATAAAAATCCTCGTCATTCAGGACTCTGTGTTGGAGTTTGAGGCTGTCATGACACATTTCTTCTACGCTGGATCTGGACTCCCTGCGGTTTTGTAAAGTGTGCCTTTTTGTATTTTTCATCCTGTACTTCTAACTTTGATACAAGCTGTAGACTAACGCTATACTACCCTCAACTAACAAACTTTTCCTAGACCTTTGTATTTATTGGCACTGAGCCAAATGGGGAAAAAAAGGGAAAAACTGCATCTTTTTACATCAAATGACATATTTTGTTAGTTTGTCTTTTATAGAGCTCCTGCACTGAACTCCTTTTTGTAAATACCATCGCAACGGTAGCAGCAGTCAAATATAAAATAAGGGCCTGGAATAATAAAAATAATAATCTAATGTAAATAATATTATAGTAATCAACTTGATGGACCAAATTTCTATTTATACTTTTAGATTTTTATATTTTACCATTTGTAGTGCATTCAAATGTTATGGTTTAATTCTAATTGCTTAGGAGAACATTAATGCTTTTATATTCTGGTTTTTGTAACAGACTAAATGTGATGCATGGGGTACTGACTTTTTTTTTTTTTTAGCTGGACATAAAACACTGCTGGATTATTAGCTAGGGGATTAAATAAGTGACAGAACACCAAATAAAGAGCCTGTTGGAGTGTTTTGTTACTGTGCAGAACTATAACTACGCAGCAGCTAAGTAACACATTTTCACCAACAAAAGATTTAGGTTACTAAATGTTAGAAATCCTGTTCTCGTGTTCATAAAATCAGTTTATAATAATCTTACATATATCCTAGATATGTTGAAAATACAAACTAAATCATACACACTGGTCCTTTAGAGGTCCAGCCACTGTAGATTGTCCTACACACTACACACTGCTCCATTCCCAGGTTGTCAAATACAGATGCAAATGGTGCTCTGTTCTGTCATCTGTAACTTCACAGCTACATGCCACTAAATCCTACACACTGGTCATTTTATGTGGAGGTAAGATACCTTTCTCTGTCAGAAGAGTTAGGGTTTTCTTTTACTCTGTACTTGTATGACAGTTATTTCCTTTATCTTAAAAATTACCAAGAAAATTTCGGCCAGTGAGTTTGAGTTACCAACATTCTTATTGTAACTAATTGTATTTTATGCATAAGAAATGGATTATGAGGCATGAAAATGCTGGATATGGGCTAATGGATGTAATGAATCAGAGTTAGGACCATGCTACCATAGCAGGCTAGACCACACAGTCAATAAACATCTGCCTCTATCATCTCTTTTTTATTATGGCACAGCCTAGGTACCCTGGGACAGGGAAACATTTAAAAGTCCAGTGTGTAACATTTAGGAGGATCTTTTGGCAAAAATGGAATATGACATTCATAGGTATGTTTT